TGCTATAATAATTTTTTCGTTAATGTAATTGTGTTGCAGAGTAAAGGCTTTAATTGATAGTAATATGCTGTGCATATGAATGCCTTTTTAAATGAATTTGAACCAAAATGTCTTGTTTACTATTAAAACTCTACTGCATATTATCACAGATGAGCTCAGTATTTATAAAATGATGCTTTTAATGTTTTCAACAAACACAACCAAAAACCTCCAGCTCAAACCTCCAGCTCAAACCAATCTACATAGTTTGACAGTACATCTCTGAATGTTGTTGAAACCATGTTGATGCGTACACTACATATATTTTGTTCCATTTGACTTTAAACATGATATTAAATGTATTTTGTTTACTCCTTGGGTGCCACCTGGATTCTCCTGCTGCTTTCTGATCAGGGTTGTGGGTAAGAATCTACTTTATATTTCCAGACTTATCTTTAATTTTTTTATTTTCCCTTTAAAAAAAAACAAAAACAAATGTTTCCTGTTGTCTGCTTATAACAGTGTGGTAGAGTTCAAAGATGAAGAATATGTTAAAAAAGCCGTGTCAGCTATGAATAAGCATGACTTGAGTGGAAGACCGCTCAACATCAAAGAGGTGAGCGTAAATTATTTTCTGTCTAAACATTTTATTTGTGATGGGTTTTAACCAAATGTTTTCATGGTTTACTTTTAGTAGCGTCTTAATTTAAGGGGAAATAATTGTGAGCTGATTTAATTGTCTCCGGCCATAACAGATTTCAAGTTTGAAGTTAAGTTTGCAATGTGGGTGTAACGATACATAAAGCTATAGTGGTGCACAAGAACAAAATATAGAAAAATTTAAAGATTGTAAATGTTTAATCATGTAGAGTATTTAAATCTAGAAATGATAGCTGCATAAGTTAATATTTTATGCATAATTCTAAGATTCTATTAATGTCAGAAGCTTATTAAAGTCTTTCCTCTTTTTTTTCTTTTAAGGACCAGGTTTCAAACACAAATATAAATAAACTACCAGAGTTGCTATGGCTAAAACTTTTGTTTGTGTTTATAAAAACAGAGTCTGATTCCATCAGTTTAGCCTTTTTGTAGCTGCAGTGGAATCTGCAGCGAAATATGGATCATGTTGATGTTGTATAAACTGATCTCCACATGACGGATTGCTCTTCAGACCACTTTGTCGATGTCCTCATAGAAAATTGCTGCAGTTTCCAAATTTCTTTTCCCTGAGTGACGATCTCCATCCTTCAACAGCGAGGTTATCAAGTTACATCCAGTGTAATAAAAGGCTGCATGTAAAATTTTGAATGATTTTTTTCAGCTTTATTTTGTCACCCTTAGTCTACATAACGAAACATATTTATAATTATAATTGATTTATTTAGTTTTTGCCAAGTGACATTAAGTTTAAACTTGAAGCCTTTAGTTGTAGATTATGCTTTCATTTGTTTGTTTTTGTCTTGAAACATGTTTTGTATTTAAGGACTACGACGGTGAACACGCCCGGCGTGCTCTGCAGCGCATGGGAGGAGGTCAGCATGGGGGTCGTGGGCAGGACATGGTGCCTGGTGGGATGAACATTCCTCCTTCGATTGCCAACAACCCCAACATCCCGCCAGAGGTCATCCACGCGCTGCAGGCCGGCAGACTGGGGAACACCGTGTTTGTGGCTAACGTAAGATCAGAACCACGGGCCTTTGCTCCCTTCCAAGTAAAACAAAGGTTTAGTTTAAGGTACATTTGTGCTTGTGTTCTGCAGCTGGACTTCAAAGTGGGCTGGAAGAAGTTGAAGGAGGTGTTCAGCATGGCAGGTGTGGTGAAGCGAGCTGACGTAAAGGAGGACAAAGACGGGAAGAGTCGTGGAATGGGAACGGTTACTTTTGATCAGCCTCTGGAAGCTGTGCAGGCCATATGTATCCTTTAAAACCTAAATATTATTTTAAAAAAAGAAACACAACCTTCAAATATCTCATTTTACTTTTGTCCTTAACTATTGTCTCAGCCATGTTCAACGGCCAGATGCTCTTTGAAAGGCAGATGCACGTTAAAATTGTATGTCGAATTTAAATCTTATTTGAAATTATTGCCTCTAAACTCTGGCAGAGATCATAAACAATTTAACATTTTGTATATGAACTTGTAGGATGAAAAGTCTCTTCCTCCTGATGATTTCCTTCCAGTAGAAAAAGCACCACAGTTGCCACGTGAGTGAGTCTTTTGCTCTGTTTTTACTTCACAAAATTCTAATGTAGATGTTGAAAATATTAGAGAGGTTGGTAAACGGAAAGCACCATTGCAGGACATTTTCATTGTGATCTTTGAAGTGCAAAACATCATGAAAGGGGTGGATGATTTTAAATTTCAACCTTTTTTCATGGGATTTTTTTTTCTTTTTCTTTTTTTGATGTTTCAGGGGGCCTGGGTGGCATCGGCATGGGTCTGGGGCCGGGAGGGCAGCCCATAAATGCAAACCGCCTTAGTGGTGGAGGAGGAATGGGCTCCATGGGACCTGGAGGTCAGTCAAACACATGTTTTAGTTCCTTCATACTGTGACAATGCTGCTGTTCCTATTTACAAACTACCTTAAAGAAGGTTTTTATAAATGCGTAGGTTTTTGTGCATCGCTTTGATGTAGCCTCACTGAGACGTTCTTCTGCCACAGGTATGGATTCAGGTTACGGAGGAATGAGCAGGCTTGGAGGTAAGATTTTGTTTATAGGGTTTAGTTTAGTTGTCCCTGTTAACGACTAAACTGATCCCACTTAATGCTCTTTTTAACAGGAATAAGTGGGAGTGGAGGCTACGGCGGCATGGACAGCATGGGCAGCATGGGGGGCTTTGGAGGCAGGGACATGGCGCCAGTTGGCAGAATGGGAGGTAAGAGGGCATTTTCACTCAAAATGCACACAGATTAGGGTCAGTTCAGTCACATACAGATACAAGCCACTTCAGGCTGAGGGAAGGTTTTAACATGTGGGGATCTGTATCGATCAGGAATGGGCGGACTGGATCGGGACTTTGACATGCCCATGAGCCGAGGATTTGCGGATTCCTTTGGAGGAATGGGTAAGAGTGAAATTCATCCGTCGATTTCATATTCATTTATTAATTTATTTGTCTCATGACGTCTTTGAATTTTTCATCACACCTAACTTATTGTGTAAATTACCTGTTAAATGAATTAAATATGGACCAATGTACCTTCTCTCCTTTAGGTGGTAGTTTTGGAGGAGGCATGGGACACATGGGAAGTGGCTTAGGTACAGTAAGAACTCAAACCAGTTATTTTGAATGTTTCACAACTCTCTATCTAAATTCATATTAATATAAAGCACAATCCTGTACAGTAGAATCCGAAACAACCTGTTGGGTCATGTATAACTTGAAATAAATATATTTATGAAAGTCATTTAAGCATTATGCCATGTTAAACTCTTGACTTTTTAGCTTTAGTGTGGTTCATGGCCACGTTTTCATTGCAAATTGCAAAACAATCCAATTTGTCTGACAGTTTCCATCCCTCTGCATTTTTATTCATGTTTTATTATGTTTCAAACTAAAGTATCCTTTTAGCTTCAGTGGGGTCTGGTTATTTCAAATAGAATAAAAAGCTTTTTGGTCACTTCCCAATGATATTTAGTGCTAAAATCCCAGTCATATAAATCATAAAGATGGTGCACTGCTGGAATCCATTTCCTTGGTAAAGCATTCATGCTCCTGTATAACAGGTGGTGGAATGGGCAGCATGTCCATGGACAGAATGGGCCCCAGCTTCGACCGTGTAGGCATGTCGGGAATGGACATGAACCGTGGCTTTGGAGGCTACGGAGGTGGCGGACACATGGGTGGAGGCATGTCGGACAGGGGCTCAGGGTCCAAAGGTGGCTGCCAGATATTTGTGCGAAATGTAAGTGTGGCCAAAAGCTGCTAAAGTCTCATTTAGTGAATATTAGTAATGAAACTTTCAGCCAAATGATTCTTTTATTTTTTACCACTTTATTAATGTTCGTAGCACTTATATGTTTGAGGTGTACTGATCAGGGAGTCTGATTTTTCAGTATTTGACCTTCCTGTCCCGAGCTGATCAATTGAAAATGAGCTAATCTTAATCTCTGTTTGAAAGCATTGGTGCATCTCTACTTTCTGTTCTTTGCTATATGCTGATTGATAAATCTGTGTTGCAGCTGTCCTATGACCTGACGTGGCAAAAGCTGAAAGACAAGTTCAGTCACTGTGGTATGAATTAAATTTATGGTTTGATGCTTTGACATTTCAATGCGATTAACCGAAGAACTAACTAGTCTTCTATTCAGCCTTAACATAAACCATTTTTAATTGATGCTAGTTGCGTCATTCGGTCATTGCTGATTCTTGTTTCCTGCAGGTCAGGTGCTGTTTGCAGAAATCAAAATGGAAAATGGGAGGTCAAAGGGTTGCGGGACGGTGAAATTTGATTCTCCAGAGACCGCAGAGAAGGCCTGCAGGATGATGAACGGAACCAAGATCAACGGCCGGGAGGTGGACGTCCGCATTGATCGCAACGCTTAGAGATTTTGTAGAAACCCCCTCGTAACTCACTTTACACTTTCAGACACCCGTACCAATCATTGTTTTGTTTTAAAAACACTATGACTTCATGTTTCCCTGATTTCATTTGTTTTGTTGGTATACGACATAGCTGTTTTACCTTTGTTTTATAAACCGAGTTATGATTTGTCAGTTTATTTGAATAAATAAACTTTTTAATTTTTAAACTGTGTGCTTGGAAACTTCTTCAACTTGTAAGCTGGACCTAAGATTTTCGTCTTTTGAGTGTCATTTCTCAACGCCCTTGTGTGTCAGTTTCAAATTAGTAATGACATTTATCAGGACACTAGTAGATGTAAAGTTTTGTACATTTGAGGAAGTGGGGGGGGATAAATTCCCATTGTTTTAATCATTGCTTGATGATTTTTACTTTTAGTCATAAACATGAATGACTGTGTCAGAGTTTAGGATGTTTATAACAGGATGAATGGAAATTTTTTACTATTTATGGCTTGTCCTCCCTGGTGATAAAACCTTATCAGGCTGCATTTCTGACTCGACACAAGAAGCTGATACTTCTTAGGATGTTCAGTTTATTTTTGGACATGTTTATTTGAACTTTTGTTAAAATCTTGCATAGTAAAGATCTAAAGAGGTAACCAATCATGCATCCGCTTGTGTGGTAGTTTTGTAACTGGTGGCTTTGCTCTTTGACATTTGTTGATCTCGACAGCTTAACATTTTTGGTGGGTGCTGGGGGCCGTTGGCCTCAGAAAATGTCTTCAGTCCTAAAAAGGTCAGGCCTCAGTCACTGCACAGCCGTATGGGATTATTCCCAATAATCCCCATCTCGTATAAAATGGACAGAGTAGCAAAGAGGATGTAGCAAATAAGACTGACAATTCCCAACTTCCAGTCCAGCCTCCATCCGTTGATGTGCACCGCTACAAAAAGGAAGACGATGGAGAGAAGTAGCGTGGCTGAAATGAAGATCAGGCCAGTGCTGTTGACCTCTACTGGGGTGTTGGTGTCCACAAAGGCAGTCTTGATAAACCAAGGCAGGCCCAGGCACAGCATGTCAAAAACATTGGAGCCCACGATGTTGGACATGGCCATGTCAGCTTTCCCTGAAAAGCAGAAAATGTGGTTGGATGCTGTTCTGGTTCCGCTCCCATTGGCTCGGTTTTTCTTGGACAGTATTACCTTCTCTAGCCACCATCACACTGGCAACTGTGTCTGGTATACTGGTTCCAGCAGCGAGTAAAGTGAGTCCCATCACTGTGTCGGGTATGTCAAGGGTTTCACCTGTGAAAAGAACTCAGATTACATCTCCACCAACAAAAGCAGGCTTTGAAGGAGTTACCATAAATCTTATTGAATCTCTTCCAGGGCATGATATCTAAAAGAACATTCATCCATGTAATCAGTCTTCATAGTTTGCTGTCTCTATAATCTGAAGAAATCAGTTTTGCAGTTCATTCGTTTTAAAAAAACGTACATAATTATTGTCCGTGCTCTTTTGTCTTAAGTGTGTTCTTATCTGATGGGATACTAATCTCATTATGCTTCAGGAGACCTATGGCTCTCAAATGGCATCTGTCCTAATGTCTTGGTTCAGCTTTGCAGTTCACATTCCTATTGTACATAAAGACTGAATCTGTTCATGAAACACTTGCCGGGTATTGTGTGTACGTTCGGCACTCACATGACTTTCTTTAATCAGGGTCGTAATCCTTCTATGACTGGTTTGGCTCACACCCCACTGGAGCTACACTGTAGTAACCCTCATTCTCTGGGACAATGGCATCTCAGGAATTAACCAGCAGACCCACATGTGACTCTGCAAAGTAGACGTTTTTCTCACAAGTCTCAAACACTTGTGATCCACTATGGTTTGCTACAGAACCTGCTGGTTCAAGCCTTCCTTATACTGAAAACACACAACTATGGAGTACAGAATGATAATGGGTTGTGAATTTGGGTAGTCTAATTTTACATTTTGAGAAATGCTTTACACAACACTGAAATGAAGTGAGGACCTTCCAAAATTGTATTGAGGTCACCTTAAAACGGGCAACTTACCTACAACTGTGACCATCCAGACCAGCACGTATGTGAAAGCAGAGATCCAGACTGCTGACATGAAGAAGGTTATCATGAACCATTGTTTCCAGAAGCGTCTCCTGCAGTCGGGGATGGTGATGAAGAGCAGAATGATGACAGGCAGAGACAGAACCCACAAGATCCTTTTCACGTCACTCTCCGGTACAGCAAAGACGCTTCTTTGCTCTGTTGGGATGAAGATTGACAATAAGATCTGAGACACGGGATTAGAGCTGCAGTCAAAGACATCGTGCTGAGAAGGCCTTGTATTTTGTACCTTCAGTAATCTCATTGAGACCATGTAGGCTGAGCGACAGGTGAGAGTACCCCGAGTCGTCTTGAAAGATGCCGCTGTCTGTTCTGGAGCGACCACGGACTCGCAGGCTGGTATCGTTCCAGCCCATCAGGGGCTGCGTCTCACGCTTCTCAGCAGAACCTGAACCCAGACAGGTGCAGCACGGGCTCAGCTTCCTCAGGACAAACTCGCTGATGCGGAGGTCAAAGCACAGAACCACGATGTAGACCCCGTAGACCAGCAGTAGACAGGCTGCCTCGTACCTGTCAGCAGAATGGACGCAAACATTCAGTACCGGCTGAAGAAAAATCCCTTGATGATGCGTTTCATGGAGAGCCTCACATCTTTTAGTTGGGTTTCTTCTTGTTTAAGGGAAACTTTCCCCTCACGTTTCGCAACATGAATGGCCAGTGTGAGGGACTGCCTCAAAGCCAGTGACTATCCACTGTCCCTACATGCTCATCTAGGAAAAGTGAATACTGCAAGTCAATGACTCGATGCAATCTGCTGGGGTTTCTTGGACAAAACACTCTTTTTTTTTTAAAGGTTTTATTGGCTCTAGTGGCCTTTATTTGATAGTTAGTTGACAGGAAGGTGGGTCATGAGAGAAGGGGGAAGACATGTGACAAAGGTCACCAGGCCAGGAATCAAACCTGCGACAGCCACATCAAGTACTAAGGCCTCCATATGTGGACTGTGCTTAACCCCTGCGCCACCACAGCACACCCAACAAAATGCTTTTTAAACCAGTTTGAATGATAAACTGAATAATAAATAAACTTGATTGATGAGTAGGTTCAATTGGAGTGTACTTTACTTTGCCTTGAATGTGTCTGCATGTGTTTGGACTGCATTGGCTTTTCATTTAGCTACACGTTCCTTGGGATGATGTTGAGAATTGGTGCTATATAAATTGAATTGATTTGACATATGAATGGATCTCTGTGGGAGGCTCTCCTCAGAAAAACCCAAACATTCATCTGTCTTGTGCTGCTGTAGTTATTCACAACTTGAGCCCAATGCACCCTGGTCCTGCCATCCGTAAACTACATGTCACTAAAGAAGAAAACAATCTACTAATTTAAAAAGCTAGTTTATGAATATTTTCAGGTAAGAATTTAATTTTGGGGCACTGGGATTTGCATAAACCAGATTGAACTGGTACAACTCCATATCACAACAGGAAAAGCAAGGTCCACCTTTATATTGTTTCCAGGACCTTTGAGCCCAATAACTCATGGTTTATTTCAAAGAAAGGACATGCAGTGCCATAAAAAAAACACGATTTTCACCTCTCATATGTTTCTAAAGTTCATACTATTTTGGCACTCCTAAGTGTTTCAAATCATCAAACTAATTTGAATTTGATAAATACAAAACCCTTTTTCAAATAATATGAAATGAAAAGCTATCCAAACCAATCTGGACAGGTTGGTAAAGAGAGAGGTTGCCACTCTTGCCCCCTGTTCCACATCCAGTATGGCTGCCGCACATATAAAACAAAGTGAAGGGTGCAGGTATGAACTATTTATCAGCACTACTGAGGGTCTGCAGTGACACATATATCATCTACATACAGGAAAATGTTCTTTTAGTTTTTGAATCCATAAAGTAGAGAGAAACAGATAATAGCACATTTCACCAAAACAACTTTGGTGTGACAACGTTTCCCAGATCGGAGGCAAACTTATGCCGAAAGTCGAGAAAACTATGGCAGCATCTAACTATGCATGTTTTGTGTCCAAAAGTTATTGTTTTATATTTTATCTGCAGTTATTGCTAGATTATATAAGGAATGATACATACCTTTTGATCTTTTACTACACGTTTGTAGTTATATTGTCATGTTGATTGCTTTATTTTTGGACTGACATTCTGTAAGCTGGTTTACAATCAAAGTAATACAAGAAGGGTAGTAAGAAGACTGTTCATTTGTTTTGTGATCTATTTTCACATTCTCTGGGTCACGGGTTTGCAATAAATATCTGTATTTGTCTTTTATAACCAACCAAGGTGCTGAGTCACTGCATATAAATCAAAAACAAAAACTCACCAGAACACTTTGTTATCGGAAATGATCCCAATAACAGCGGCAACACTGATTCCGTATGCCAGGCAGTCTCTGAACAGGGGCCAGCAGGTGAGTCGTCCTGCCTGATAAGGGAATCAAAAATAAATGGCTTATATTTTATACAAAGCAACATAGCCAGACTATCTCTGACCTAGTAAAAACTCATACACAAGGAGGTGATAAGGGGGTAATCTCTACCGGGATCTTTTGGGTTTGTTGTTAAAATGTACCATAGAGGCCAAAAGTCCACAGGCTGCACAGATTCCGAGTAGATTGTACACGGCAGATCCCACAATGGTGCTGATTCCAATGTCTCCCTTGGTCACAAACACCCCTAATAAAAGAAGCACACAACAAAGTTTGATGTTGGATCCAGGAGCAATGAGGAAGTACTTCTAAAAAATAATGAAAAAGACAAAGAGCATGCAAGGTTACCAGGTCACACCAGACCAGGTCAGGGGACATATATCCAAACTACATAGAGTGTAGTGTGCATACAAATAATGTTGTCCCTATGCATGATTACCAAGAAAAGCTGTGACCAGTTCAGGTGCAGAACTCCCTGCTGCCATGAACGTGGCTCCTGCCACATCCTGAGAAAGTCCCAGACCTGAGAGAGACCCGAGAAATAAAAAAAATATTAAGCTATTGGTCTGAAAAAAAATATCTAGCAAGAAAGTTAAGGTGTAGATTTCTACTATAATCCATTTAGTTAAGTAGGAATATTGAATATTTATCTGCAATGCCGGCCCAAAACACTGAAATTAAGCAGGGCGCCACAGAGATTGCTTTCGTGTCACATATATTTGAGAAATAAGACCACTTTTAAGCTTGATGACTTTTGTGTAGCAGATTTTAAATACTCTGAAGTATTTTAAATTATATATATATATATATATATATATATATATATATATATATATATATGTATATATATATATATATATATATATATATATATATATATATATATATATATATATATATATATATATATATATATATATATATATATCGATATCGCTATAGATACATCC